AGAGAGAGAGAGAGTGAGGGAGGGAGGGAGGGAGGAGGGAGAGAGAGAGAGAGAGAGAGACAAAAGGTAAATATAGCTTCAAAGGACTAGCACCATGCTGTAAATAGGCATAACAAATATTTCATTAAATATTATTTCATTAGCACCATCATTATACTATTATACATGTACGCGTAGCTAATAGCCTTTTCACACTTAGTCCACTGTGGATCCAGAATTGGGATAAAATCCAGGATTTAAACAGGATTAGCTTGTTCACACTTGTCTTGAATCAGGATTGAAGCTAGATCCAGTCAATCCACATCCAGAGGTAGTTTGAGGTGGATTGAAGTGGATTAGTCTTAATTACATATTCATAACCTGTAGAAGCCAAAGCAGTTTAATTCACTTTCAATTCTTTCAAAGTAGCTTAGTGTGAACATAACCAAAGAGGAGGATTCTATTTTAGCAGGTTACAATTCTGTATCTAAAGTGGACAAGTGTATAAAGGCCTTAATAACTAGCAATAGCCAGAAGTAATTTAAGCCATTACTCTCTTAATAGTATACGAGTTTAACAAGGTTACTAGGACTTGATATGGCATCTGTTTATTACAACAATAGATTGAGTAATCAGCTTATCACTAGGCAACAAAACTATTACAAATAATGATGACGATGACGATGCAGTATGACCATGCATATTGAAACAATGAGAATCAATACATACTGTATAGAAATATAATAGGAAATTAAATGCATAATAAATAGCTTACCAACAAACATAGAATAACTACTGATACTAATATTATTCTAAATAAGAATCCACCTGCAAAAACTAACAAACTTAAAATGGCAAACCTCGAATATTTACACATACATGTACATATTTTTGGAAACACAAACTCAAAAAATACAGCCTTAACAAAAACTGTCCCATGCTTACTCCAAAAGCAACATTCATCCTTAAGAGTACATAAACAAAGAGAAACACTTTGAACTAGTAAACTAGTTACACATACACAGTGTACATGTACATGTACATGTATATTGGGAGGGTATAAAGGTCAGTGGACACATGGCTGAGTAGTTCAAAACAAGGGATAAGAGCACAGGTTGTTTATGCATTAGGCTCTGTTTATGTGTGTGTGTGTGTGTGTGATTGTATGATGAACTAATAATGCTTTCAGTATCAATTATGACTCAGCAAACAATTATAGCATGACTGTCAGATTACATGTACATTGGCAAATGCTAACAGGAAATGAGGAGAGAGGAAGAGACTGAGGGAGGGGGAGAGAGAGACTGAGGGAGGGGGAGAGAGAGACTGAGGGAGAGAGAGAGAGAGAGAGATAAAGAAAGAAAGAAGGAGAGACGATATAAGTTTTATAGAAGAAAGGTAAAAAGAGAAGGCTACAAAATAGGAGAAAGAAAGGAAGTATGGAAAATGAGAAAGGAGACAAACATAATCTTAGCAAAAAATACAATAAGCATATCCAATAACACTATCAAGTAACAAACAATACAAACTATGATGAAGCAATCGAGATACATGTACGTGTACATTACTTGACAAAACAGAACTGAACTGTTAATGAGTGGAACCGTAGATATATGTGCATGGAAAACACAAACACACATACACATTGCATCATCATCCATTATCAATAATTACATACAGTACAGTAGGTATATAGGTACACGATATCTATTCATGTGACAGGAATACAAAGTGTATGATCATTGATTAAGCAGCTACAAGTATGCATTTGATGAATATAAGTACTATCATGTGATTCACCTACTCTTGCCGGATTTCGAAAACCTAAGGGAGCGACAGGAATCACTAGAAATTCTGAGATCTTGTGTTTGTTGGACGTAGTCTTTAGTAGAATAACTAGAGGAGAGAGAGAGAGAGAGGGAGAGGGAGGGGGAGGGGGAGAGGGAGAGAGAGAGAGAGAGAGAGAGAGAGAGAGAGAGAGAGAGAGAGAGAGAGAGAGAGAGAGAGAGAGAGAGAGAAGTAATAACACTCTATATTAATCATAATCATAAATAATTAATAAAACTATGATAAACAGTGTAAGCATAATAAATAATAATTAAGTAAAGTTGCCTAGTAATAATATTACAAGGATATTAAAAATAAAAACCAAATAAATACAATCAAAAATCCCTTACATTAATACTTGTCCATCCATGGTCCCACAAGCCAGGAGAGGAGAAAGAGGATGAGAATCAATAGCTAAGAGATTCTCATCATGGAAGCTGATATGAGGACAAGGAGGAGCAGCCCCACCTTGACTCATTGTATTCAGTTATGAATGAGAGAGCAGCTGCTGCACTAGCACCTGTTTACTTAGACTGTCAAAACCTTCAAAAAAGAAAGGAGGAGTTATATTATATTACAGCTTTACCCTATGGAGTATGGACATTGATTTCACAAAATAATTGCAAAGTAATAGCTACCATTAAACACACACACACACACACACACACACACGCACACGCACACACACACACACACGCACGCACACACACACACACACGCACGCACACACACACACACATACAACTAAAAATAAGGTTTGGTTTATACAAGTACTTTATGCATCAGAACAAGCTCATTCTTATACACAGCATACATACAATGCACAATTATATTAGGCAGCTATGTGTCACATGTTCTCTTTATAACTTGATGAATGAAAACCTGTAATGACTAATCACATGCCTGCATTTTATTGAATAGGACAGTAATAGTATTAATAAACAGTTATAAGAACCATATAACCAGTAATAATAATAGTAACAGCATAACTAATGTGAGTGCTCAAATAAAATTATTATGTAAGAAACAATAATCCTTACTATTACAGCCACATGCATAATGTAGACGGGTTCAGGGCTACCAAGTCTGATTTATGGAATGCCACACGTTAACAGAATCTTTAAGATCGTTATCAATGGCTGAAGACTGGCTCCAACAAGCAGGCCATTGTTCCTCCTTCCACGGTATTGTAAGCATCAGGTGAATGTCAGCTGATGCAGGCTGCCAGCTGTGTGTTTTATTAGGCATTGCAACATTTGACAAACACGGCTTGAGAAAACGAAGCATAATTCATTAGGCCAATAATAGTAAATGTGACCAGTAAGCAAACTGAGACACATTATGTGCATTGTGGGGGCTATCTGTTAGAAACAGAGACGGGTTGTGTAACAAGAACAGCTGTATGTTCAAGGTTATACAAAGTTCATTCAAATGCATTACATAATGTACACTAGGCCCGTGTCTTGTGGCTCTGTCATTCTATGCCCATATAAGGAGATTCACGAGGTGTATTGCGCAATAAACGCGCGGTTGCTAATTCCCTCTAAGGAATTTGATTGGTCAGTACAATCCGCATACCTCCTGACCGCATACTCGCCGCCGACGATCGAGATATCCCGCCATTTTCCACGCCATTGTTGCCCGGCAAGGTCAGTGAAGACGCGCCGTCTTAAGCTTTTAGCCTTTTCCTATGAGCTTAACACCATCAAAACTACACCAAGAGAACCCTAGGACATTGGAGAACCTATTACAAGTGACCAGAAGCGTATCTGGGAGCTTTTTACAGTAGAAAAAGGAGAGCGTCCCGTCTTTGCCAGTAGTCAGCTGATCCCATCCATCTCCCCCACCAGGCTGAGTAAACAATCTTGGACCAAAAAACACCACCAAAACACACTTTACTCAACTCCCCTCTCATCACTAAAGGCTTTTCCTCATCTCTACGAAGGACAGAGGCAGAAGAAGGGATGGATCACACTTCAGCTTTCACGGGGTTTTACTCGCCTCTAGCTACAGCCATACCGCCCAGTCTTCGCTATCCTTATCCACCCACCCCATCCAGTACACCAGCAAGGAGTGTTGGAGGAGGAGGTGCACCTACTCCTTCTGGAGGTATCCTCTATTATCCACAACAGCCTCTATCTTCCCCATCCGTCATTGAGAAGGGCAACCAATCTGTACAGGAGGGGCAAGCAAGGTGAGAAAGAGAAGGCTAGGGAAAGAGAGATAGCAAAGCTAGGTATAGATGGCAAAACTTAGTTTAAAACCTTTAAAAGTTATTTATTATAGAGAGAGAGAGAGATTGTTACTTTGGTACTTTTTAAAATATACAAACGAAAACTGAAATTCGAAATTTTTAGTTGTCATTTACAAAAACTTTCTTTTCTCACTCTCAGTGCTACAACAAGTCAAGATGATGAGGATGAGTCACAGAAGAGACCGCCTCTTGACAAGAAGCTCAGACGACAGATTGCCAATTCAAACGAGAGGCGAAGAATGCAAAGTATCAATTCTGGTTTCCACACGCTCCGAATGCTAATGCCACATCTACAGGGAGAGAAACTCAGCAAAGTAAGTCAAAGAAAACAAACCAATAACTGTTCTTCACTTACATAAATTAGTAGTACTCTCTTACTAGTATTACATTTTCTAGCAAAATTATTTCTGTTTCACACCTTCCTTTAACTTTCTTTTTATTTGTAATTTCTCCTCTCTCTCTCTAGGCCTCAGTTTTACAACATGCAGCTGAGCACATCTTCCGTCTAAATCAAGACAGAGACAGGCTCATACAGCAAAACACCACGATGAGAATGATGCTCACCAAATACTGGACAAACGATTCTAAAGGAGGCGATGGAAAGATGACAGAGGGAGGGAAAGTCAGCAAAGCCACGAGCCCCATTACAGTCGATGAGGAGAAAGCAACTGCTAAAGAGCTCGAACAAATATTTACAGCAGAGCACGAGCTGCAGATGATAAAGGAAGAGCTACAGCGTGAGAGGACTTTGAGGATCCAGGCAGAGACAAAGAACCGTCTACTGCAAGAGAGGATGGGCTCCGGAGAAGATTCTGAAGAAGGATCGGACGTAGAGTTCTATAGCAGTCGCAAGAAGTCCCGAATCACCCCAGAACCACGCAACAACCTTGATATAATAGTACGGGCCATCCGTCAGATTGAAGGAGATGCATTCAGTCGATCAACTACTCCTACGTGTTCAACTCAAGAAAGAGCAGCACTTTTCGTACCCATCACTACATCTAATGATACGTCAAGAGTGAGTCCTGTTACACCAGTGTTTGCTTCATGATATCAAATGACTCTCATTTTCCTTTCCTTCCCACTTCTCTCTCTATAGCTCTAGCTCTCTTTCCTTATCAATTCTTCTCATCATCATAATAATTGTTATCATTATCTCGCACTCACTCAGTAGCAGCTGTACCATAATATGCCTACATATACACACACCCACGCAGTATAATTATGCAACAACAAACATTTGATTATAGAAATAAAAAGAACTTGATTGATTCCCCCCTCTCTCTCTTTATTTCTTTCCTCTTCTTTTGACCATTGTAATTATTCTTTCTTTTGAGATGATTATAGACCAGATTGATTATGTTAAAAAATAATTATGATGACTCTTTAATAATAATAATAATTTCAAAAAAACAATCATAAAATAATTGTTCAATATTAATGCAAGCGATCACAACATAACAACTACACAATAAACCTTTCACTCATTCAGTGGAACAATCCCTTACAATCCACTTCTGTCTATTGCTATTCAATCAATCTTTCACATGCAATAGCTAGTATAGTAAGAAGTCTAATAGTATTATTCACTGAAATACAAGTATAGACAATGACTGGATTACAAAGAACTCAACCATACAGTGGTAGCATTCTAAACTACAATGTGTACCATTGTTCAATAGTTGATTCATGTTAAATGAAGTACAGACAATAATCATACATAAGATTAGTATATGACACACATGGATGTTATCATACTGAAAACAGCCAGCACATTCATACTATAATTTATTATCCATAGCTCATCATAACAAAGTCAGCTGGTGTATGGATTACAATGAAAACTGCACACAAAAGCTATTCCTTAACATCATTCAAAGGCTGAGGGGCTGATGCAATTGAAATATGAGAATTATGAGTATTCCCAGAGGGAGAGAGAAATTCAAAATTGACTCAATGAATGTGGGTAGAGGAGCAGGAAGTGCTGGTTATAGCAGCTGTTTGGGGATTTGTTCTTATGTACACAAAAAGGGGCTCTGTATTTACTATTAGGAGAACCCTTAGGAGGACCATGAGCTCCACTTACCACACACATACACACACAGAGTGAAATACATAAAACTCAAGACAATCTTTCATACTAGGAAGAACTATTAGAATATTATAAGAGCATGATGCAGGGGGCACAATTGTTCCCAAAATGGATTCCCACTTCCAAACATAAGGGAGGAAATTAGATTGAGATGAGACATCACAGCAAAACAGTGACCGAGACAGGCAGGCTCCATCAACATAGCCAATGGAGGAATTTGTATGCACTGGGTTAGTAAAGGGATTTATTGTGATCAGGTAATTTAGCAATCATCGAGGGAAGGGTGTGTCTTCATTATTTAATAAAAGTCCTGATCAGATGCTATCACTATTGATGTAATAATGATGATGACGCAACAAGTTTACAATGCAAACAGTAGGAGAGATTTCATTTTAGAAAGAGGATAGCGATGACACCTAGTTCAAACTTTAAAATACAAATAGGCTGGAATAGTTTGGATAAGGGACAATGGGTCTTGAAATTAGTACTTTTTTGAATTCTTAAAAACAACCAATAAACAGCATTTATAGTACAATTATCTCTAAAAGGCTCTTTAAATCACAATGAAAAGCATTCATTATCTGGCCATCATAGTATCCTTGATGATCTAATGCCAACATTATGAGTCATAATGTAGTATGGGATACTCATAAATGTAGTAAACTGTAATGCATAGTAGTGAGCCAAAGTGTATGGCATTACTCATTAATACCTCAAGGTTATAATGTACCCAATGGCACTATTTCTAAAAGGGCCTACTACCAAAGAGCTGAAAATTAGTGGAACATTCTCTGCCTAATTTCAAATCACGACACCTCTGTCGTTGCTAAGTAACGGGTGTCCGGTGCTCATTAAATAGAGTATAGAGGGGAGAGTGCACGGGTGGGGGACAGGGTACATGAAACATGTGGAAGTGTTGATGATAAGGAAGCAGTGATTATATACATGATCAATCATGTGTGGATAACTGTTCAATATAAAGTGTGATTAATGCTTTATGATAAAATGGATTAATAGGAAGAAACACAGGACTAGAATAGAAAATAAAAATAGAATATAAAATATGTTAGTCCGCTTCTAATTGCTGGAAATTGGTCTTTTCTAGGTATTATGTTTATACAACATTAGATATCACATTAAAATTTAGCTATAATAATACAGAGCATAATGTAGAATTGAACCAACTACAGCTGGGCCATAAAAATAAGCAGTATGCCTCACAATACTAAGCATCTCTTACTTCCTATTAAATATTCTTGTACTTTCTATTAATGAAAGGCTGGGGCATTGACAGTAGAATATTGACACTTATTTGAATGAAGACACATAGATATCGCAATAAAGATACCGTCCATCTGAAAATTTTTACAGTGACTAATGCTGCGTTTACACTACAGAAGTGGGCCAAACCTTGCTGAACCAGACTGAGCTGGCCCTGCTGTACTAACCATGCTTGCCTGGTTTGGCCCAGCTGACTTCAGCTCAGTTTGGCTACTGTTTACACTATCAAATGAAACTGTGCTGGCCCACTTTAAACAGGGCTGGCTCAGTTAAAGAAGCTAGCGTAAACACAGTATTAAGTTATACTGGATTAGAATATGTGACCATAATTGACAAAAGGGCCCTTATGGCGGATTTTAAAATTGATCGTTATAATGGAAAATATCAACCTGTGAGTGCTTTGTTAGACAATCATTGTTTCTAAAAGTTTCATGGTAACTTTTTGCATCCTGTGGAGTAATTTTATGATAAATGGGGCTCAGGAAGTTGGATTTCTTAGGCTTGAAAGACAAATTTCCCTACCCGCCATAAGGTACCTTTTGTCAATTATGGTCACATATTGCAAAAATTAGATAACACGTTTAATTACATGCCACATTCAATAACAAGTAAAAATAGCACAATTTTGAAAAATGTTCCACCACATAAATATCCTGATTTACAGTAGTAAGTATTCAGGTATAGATCACTATAGCCACTATAAGCTACTCTGAGTGACACATGGAGACTGATGCTGCCTAATTCAATTTTAATTTTACTATAATAATAATTATTATTTACTATTAGTACAGCTGGCGATTATTATTAAATAAAAGGAAAGGCTATACATTCAGACATAAACGCAACACATGTGCCAATTAATAACAATAATAATAATAATGAGATACTAATTGCTACACACATATCTACAAGTACCGGTACTAGGGACGGAGTACATGTATTATTAGTAGGATCACATGATCCCACAGCTGATCAAATCAAGGGCATTAAATAGAACAGCTAGTAAAACGTTAAAGTAATGTTGTATTATTCTTACGACATGCTTAAAATGGATTGCAAACTTTAACTTTGCATAAACATGGATTTAACGAGAGGCATAATGTGATAATATCATTGATTTTTTTAAAAACTTGTGAAGATTGGAATGATGCAAAGTTATCGTTTTATGCATTAACTTAACTTGGGCTTTATATAGAAATAATAATCACTGTCCCCATGCAAGTACATACATACGCAAACAAAGCAATTTTGAAAATCAAAATAATTATAATGATTGATAAGAATAATTTCAATTCCAAAACAAAAAATAAAATGGAACGTTACTACTGACTTTCAAAAATAACCGGACAATTTTCAAAAGGAGAGAACGTGAGAGAGGCTCCTGGACCTTCCTTATTCACTTTTTATACCAATAATTACAGAGCGACAGTCAAGAGCCCAATCTGCCAAGGCGAGAAAGAAAAAAATCGAAATAATTTACAATAAATATTGTTGGTGTCCGTTAACTTTTGCCTGCTGTTCCCAAGGGCTGGGACTTACCAGTAGCCTCGGTACATCTTCTTTAATTTTATGGCCATCACAACTCACTGCTCTCAGGCCTGAGTGAGAAATGGAGAAGGAGGCGTGGTTTTAAAACACGTTTTGCTAAATCTCCGCGGACTCTCGTGATACTTGATGGGTGTGGCTAATTGTAAGAATACGGAAAGTTTTCAGGAATAAATCCGTGCATGGTGTGGGTGTGGTTTACCGCCCGGTCACTTCCGTCTTTATTCCGTATACGATATCTCCGCATTTCTTCGTACACTTTAAGTAATCCTCCGTTTATTGTACCAATTTTGCTGCATTAGAGAGCGAGGGTCTGACTAAAAGGGCCATCCACTCTCTCTCTCCCCTCTTCTTTCTTCCTCTCTCAATTATAAAATGGCTACTCTCAAGGATGCCATTACGAACGTGGATTGCCTCAAGGAGCTCTCCCTCCCAGACGAACAGCCCATCATAGAGCCGGAGCCAACCTCACTCGTCTACGAGGTCTCCTTCGACACCAACTTTGCTGACAGGACGGCCTTCATTACAGGCATAGGACGCTATAACGAAGAAGCCACCATCTGCTCCAACTTGGTTTGTACACAGAGATGACCCAGACACCCATCATGGCTTATATTTGTGGCAATTAACATTAATTTTGTTTTTTTTTTTCGATTATTTTAGAACGTTATTCTAGATCAAGGCGAGGACTATGCTGGTACTCTTTATACATGGCGCTCGCTCTCTCGTGCCGTGCCTGCCGTAAGACCCTCTATCTATCCTATCTTTAGTTCCAAGTGTTTTTGATGATTTTTCTTTGTTTATGTTCAGCAGAGTAAACACTTGCCTTTCACAATAGCATCTCCTAATAGTAATTTATTTTACTTTTACCAGTACAGCATAGACTGTATATATACAATGTACGCACTGTACATATATGGGAGGAACAAAATGTCCTCCTATCCACTTTAGAGATTATTATTTAATGGGACGCTATAGGAATTGGAATCCATTTTTATTTTCTTCTATAAGATACTAACTTGCATGTATAGTATTATTTCTTCTTAATACTACTAGCCTGTCTTTATTTTGAGATGGGCAGGAATGAAAAACAGTCAAACCCCAAAGCTTGTCTAAATTAACAGCACAATGTTTATTTCTGTATACTTCTCATACTTTGTTGAAAATTGATAATAATTAGTCAAAATCATTACTGTACACAGTTCACATGTCCCAAATGTCTAGCTATGTGATATGCAACTAGACTGGATCTAAAATCTAAAATTCTGTATGAAAGTACTATGTAGATAACATAGATGCACAGTGCTTCTTTGTGGTATCTCCATATTACATGTAATCAAGGCAATTAGGAAAGTATATTTTGTTTTATTTTTTAGTTTATTTTTTTCTTAATGGTGATTGTGTGGGTGCAGTGTACATGTATGTATTCTGCTCTTATGTTTTATGCCATGTACAAGGTGTATTTTGCATTGTGTGAATATCAATACTGTTAAATACTCAGTTTACTTTTTATGGAGTGTTGGAATTTGTATTTAATAACACCAGTTGCTGACTTTATAATATACCCCTGTCTCTTTATACTCTCCTCCCACTCCCCCCTCCCTCTCTCTCTCTCTCTCTCTCTCTCTCTCTCTCTCTCTCTCTCTCTCTCTCCCTCTCTCTCTCTCTTTCTCCCTCTCTCTCTCCCTCTCTCTCTCTCTTTCTCCCTCTCTCTCTCTCTTTCTCCCTCTCTCTCTCTCTTTCTCCCTCTCTCTCTCTCTCTATGTTTCAATTAATGTATATCTTTACCTTTCTTTTTTTCTTTCTGTTCCTCTCTCCCTCTCTTTCTCTCTCTCAGATCAAAGCTCATGACCAAGCCAATAGGTTAGAGATATACGAGAAGACCGTCCACGTCCTTGGCCCGGAGGTTGCTAAAGCCAAAGACCTCATGAGGTTCTTAAACTCTGCCATTACAAGGTTCTGTGAGGAGATTCGTCTCCTAGCCCATCCCGAGAGAAAGAAGGACTTCATATCAGAAACATACCTCATGACGCTTGCTAAACTAATCAACATGTTTGCTACTCTGGACTCTCTCAAAAACATGAAGGCTTGTATCAATAACGATCTCGCCTGTTACAAGAGGTGGGTATGGTTTGAGCTAATGGGAGTGGCTTATAATAAATTATTAATAAATAATGAGTGTCTCGTTCTTGTATTACTTTATCCTGGAGGAGTGTCTTGGTATTACTGTATAATAGATCAAAGCATAGTACAGTGTGATTAGCATTTGAATATAACACACGTGACACTTCTATAGTTGAATTATATAGTTACATGTACAATGTAGAGTGTAATTTAATAATGTGCACATGTACATATATGTATGTGTATATTAGTGCACTTGTATTGAGTGTGTGTTTGTGCTGTACATGTAAGTATATGCTCATGATTCCTTTCACTGGATTAGTGAGAACAGTCTCTTTTGTTTGTTGTTCTATTTAAAGTTACATACAGTACAGTCTGTGATGTACACATGTACAGCTGCTCCTATTATTATTTAAATGGATATGCATTTTATTGCTGTTCTCTCTCTCTCTCTCTCTCTCTCTCTCTCTCTCTCTCTCTCTCTCTCGCTCTCTCATTTTCTCTCCCTCTAGAGCTGAGAATATTCTCAATAGAGGTAATGTTGATGCCTTTGCTATTGAAGAGTCTCAGACGATATCCATCTTCTTTGCTACTAACAACAGCATCACCAATGAACTGAAGAAACACTTGGAAGAGGTAATAGAAAGAGAGAGAGGGTGAGGGGAGAGAGAGAGAGGGAGTGAGGGGGAGGGAAGGAGGGAAGGAAGGTGAGAAGCAGAAAAGTGCAATGTACATGTACATGTATGTGTGATATTTTGAACTACATGTGTTATGAATAGGTTCCTGGTTATGAGGATGTTTTGGTTGAGACCATTAACCTCTGCTGTCAGTATTACGAGGAGCAGCTGTTTGTACTGCCTAATGAGAAATACATTTTATTAAAGGTACAAAAAAATAAAATAAAATAGAATATACATTTAATTTAAATGCAAATGCAATACATGCACTACATGTATATTATGCATGGTGTACATGTAGTTGCATTGAAGCTCTGTGGTGTGTCATTAGAGGATTTCAGTGAAGATAAGGGATTTATAGTTTACATGTTGTTTGTTGATTTTTTTATTGTTGACAGTCCCACTCCATGCATGACTTAAACATTGCACTCCTTCATTCTGGTTTAGAATAAGCATAGCTTTTAAATCACATTCTGCCTGTTTCAGCCAGTATCCAGCTTTTATTGGATAAGTACATGTATACATGCATACTTACATGTACATGTACATACATGTACATGTACATGCATACATGTACATGTGCATGTACATATGTTACTGGTTCTCATGTTTTCTTGTTACTATTGTTAGGCTATTGGGTATGGTATGGTCCTCTTGGATGGAAATGTTGTCAATATAAATCGACTCAAGAAACTGAACATATCACGAGTGGACAAACTCTTCAAAGTAAGAATTGACTAAGCAGGAGCATATACCCATGTACATGTACTTTGATTCTTTAATTTTGGTTGCAATTAATGTACATGTACATGTATATCCTTTATAATGAGGGTTGAGGATATTTTGTAAGTACTTCTGACACCTCTTTATTAAGGACAGGTAGTGTGGGCCCAATGGTGTCCTTAATAAAGAGGCTACACTGTACATGTATTAAGGACAGGTAGTGTGGGCCCAATGGTGTCCTTAATAAAGAGGCTACACTGTACATGTATTAAGGACAGGTAGTGTGGGCCCAATGGTGTCCTTAATAAAGAGGCTACACTGTACATGTATTAAGGACAGGTAGTGTGGGCCCAATGGTGTCCTTAATAAAGAGGCTACACTGTAATTGTATCAACTTACTTGTATTATAATGACATTGTATTAACTAATTTTTTCTCTATTTTTGATCGATTCCTCCAGCTGCTACCAGTGGCTCCCTTATACGGTGATGTCCAGATACGTTTTGCTGACTGGATAAGGCAGTTACCTCATTACGATCAGTCCAAGTGGACCTGCACTAGTGAGCAGCAGGAAGAGAAGGTCACCGTCGCAATTCAGAATCGTGTGGAGGTCATTCGATCAGAGCACGTTAGATTCATATCAGAACTAGCCCGCTATAACAATGAAGTAAGAAATAAGAATACTAGAGCTTGTATAGTGTTATAATTATTTAATTTTTAAAATTAAAAAATAAAGAATAGTGCTTGTAGAATGTACTGTATATACATGTAAAGTTATACCAATTTCATTTGGTTTTGAAAGTGAATTTACTTTTATTCTAAAGATTATCACAAAGAAGCAGTTTGAGTTGAATGACCAGAGAGCTAAGGAGCTGACAGAGATGGCCCAGCAGGGAATCAAACTGCTAACATCATGGACCACTGCAGTAATGGAACTGGTAAGAGCATTGAGGGGAGAGAGAGGGAGGAGGGGGAGGGAGAGGGAGATTTGAGGACAAAATTTTGTTTCAGTTTATGTAAAGGATATGAAAAATAGCAAGCATTGTTTTTATACATAAAGTACATGTAAATTTGTATACACAGTTTATGAATTCATTACTGCAACATGTTATGTACATGTACATTGTGCTTGTGCCTTGTACACTATACATGTATTTGATCATTTTTGTGGTGCATCTGTTGCTATAGTGTTACATGTAC